TAGGACAGAGTAGAACTGCCCATAGGGTTTCTAAGGCTGTAAATCTTTATGGAAGCAGACTGTCAAATCTTTCTTCTGCAGAGCAGCTTGTGGGTTCAAACCACTGACCTTTTGATTAGCCCCTGAATGCCTTAATCACTGAGCCACTGGCAGAGCCCTAATGGGCAGCTTTGTATAAAGGATGTGAACAGTGGTGGTTAATCTTTTTTCTACCCTGATGCACTAGAAGAGTACAGTTCTTTCTTTGTCAACAGGTGGCTCAGTATTGCAGTGGTTATCCACCATTCCTACCTCTTAGGTGAGAATCTCTAGTGGTGGATAATGCTGGGTTTTGTGGGACATAGACATTTTCTATAAGTAAATTAAGATTATTTTCTAGAAACATGATTTATATAATATACTTGCAGAAAATAAAATTTACATTGTCCTCTATAAGCAGGCATTTGTGGAACTACAAACAGATTCTAGATTTTATTTGTTTTGAATTTAGTTTTTTTTTTTTTTTCATTACCTTGCATTGATACCTTTTTTCTCTTTCTTTTTTTAGTGCTCAAATCAGTTGAAAATCTTGGTGTAAGCCATATGAAAGGAACTGATGAATACCAGAATAAGTTAGAAGCTGAGCTTCGAAGGCTCAAGTTTTCCTACAGAGTAAGTAAAATAAGAAAGAAAGAAAGAAAAAATTCCTTCAGTTGGTATATACTAATGAATTGAGTATCTATTGTGGGAAAAGTCTTGTATTAGACACAGAGGATTTATGAACACTAATATAGCATAGATTATCTGAAGGAACCTATAGTCTCTTAGGGGTAATGGACATATAATCAGATGATTACAATATAGTGGTATTTCTCAATCTTAGCCCTATTGACATTTGAGCCAATAATTCTTTGTTGTGAGAGCTGTGCGTTTTAGGATATTTAGTAGCATCCCTGGGTCTACCTTTTAGATGCCAGTAGCATTTTCTCTCTTAAAGTTGTAGCAACCAAAAATGTCTCCAGACACGGCTAAATACCCCCTCTGGGGCAAAATTGCACAGGATTGAGAATCAGTGCAATATAGAATGACGAATGCTATTATTGGATGTGTGTTCTAGGAGCTCCAAGAGCACATATAATTACTCAACTCAGATTAGGGAGGTTTGGGAAGGCTTTCCAGATGAACTCGTGCTGGAGCTGCATCTTGAGAAATGTGATCAGATTTTTATTTTGGTAAGATGACTGCCAACAATAGATTGGGATGGTTATGTCTGGTAGGAGGGATACAGGAGTCTGGAAATGATGAGAGTCTGAACTAAATGAAGAGGCGAGGACTGATTAAAGAAATAATAATAAGATAAATAAAAAAGATGTTAGTGAAAAATTGCAGGAGGACGAGAATGGGGAAGTGTTATGAATGATATCCAGGTTTCTAATTAGGGCAACTAGATGGGTAGTAGTGATATTTTGAGTTGTGATTTATAGAAGGAGAAGCAAGTTTTGGAAGGATGATAATTGAGTTTGGTTCTGGACATGAATTTGAGGTGCCTGTGGAGATGTCTGGTGGCTTAGTGACTAACGCATTTGACTGCTAACCAGAAGGTTGGCACTTCAAACCCACCAGCCACTCTGCAGAAGAAAGACTGGGCAGTCTACTTCTGTAAAGACTTACTACCTTGGAAACCCAAAGGTGGTTGCTATGAGTTGGAATTGACTCAGTGGCAGGGAGTTTGGTGTTTTGGTTTTAGTGGAGATGTCTAGTGGGCAATTGGATATATAGATCTAGATTTAAGAGACAGAGGTCTACTGGGAATATAGATTTCAAGGAAGGTTGGAAACAGTGAGAGCAGGTCAGAGCACCCTAGGAAAGTAAGAAAAGAAGATAAGAGGACAGAATGTGATGAATACCAGTATTTAAGGTGAAGTTGAATTGGAATCTGGAAAGAAGATTGGGAAGAAGCTGCCTGAGAGGTTGATGGACCAGGATAAAAGTGTCATGGAAATCAAGGAAGGCTGGTGTAAAATGGTGGTATGGGGGCATCAGAACTTGTCTAACTTCAAGGGGATAATGAGAATCAAGAACAGCCCAGAGCTGATCCCTGTGAGGTAGAGGTCAGACATAACTCCACCCTCCAACCTTTTTTTTCTTTATGAATTCTGACATTATCCTTCCCTACCATAGCAAGCACTCTCTGCTTCTCTTTGGGTTCAATAATTCATTATAGTGGCCACACTTACAGACTATACTTAGAGTTAAGGAAATGAACAGGATACCACCCAGTACCAACAGGCTGCAATAGGATATGGAACCATGTAGGCAGTGGTTAAAGCATTGGGCTGCTAGCCAAAAGGTCAGGATTTGAACCTGCTAGCCACTTTGCAGGAGAAAGATGAGACAGTCTGCTTTTGTAAAGATTTACAGCCTTGGAAACCCTGTGGGGCAGTTCTACTCTGCCCTATAGGGTTTCTGGGAGTCAGAATCAAATCAATGGCAGTTGGGTTTAAGCTTTTGAAAATGTTGTGGCTAAAAGCACCAACCATGTAGACAAAATGCCTAAATTCAAATCGTGGCTCTACCATTTACTGTATTCACTATATCTTATTTACATTTACTATATTATTATATAGGAGCTCTGGTAGCATAGTGCCTAAGGCACTTGACTGCTAACTGGAAGGCTGGTGGTTCAAATCCACCAGCCACTCCTTGGAAGGAAGGTTGGGCAATCTACTTCTGTAGTGATATTGCCTCGGCAACCCAAGGAGGAGTCGCTATGAGTCAGGGCCGACTCAATGGCACATAACAACAAACAACATATTATTATATATTATTCACTGTATTATGAGCTTGAGCAAGTTACTTAACCTATCAATAATTCATTTTCCTCTTCTGTAAAATGGGAATACTTTTTAAGACTACTAAGCTTAGGGATCCTCGGAAGGAAGGTTGGGCAATCCTACTTCCGTAGTGATACTGCCTCAGAAACCCAAGGAGGGGTCGCTATGAGTCGGGGCCGACTCGACGGCAAACAACAACAACAACAAGCTTAGGGATAGGTCATTAAGATGAGTTGCACAGTACCCGTTGGATTTAATAGTGGGGCAGGATTTTTTAGATTGGGACAGAAGTGATACTGATGGTAGTGGTTGGAGGAGGAAGGTGAAGAGTTGAGTATAGAATATTTACTTTTTAAAATGTTTAGCTAAAGAGATGAGAGAAATAGGGCAGAAGGTAGAGAATTGTAAGGAAAAGAGGATATACACATGTATATGGCAGGAGATGCTTAAAAAACCAAACCAAACTCACTGCCGTTGGGTTGGATCCGACTCATAAACAACCCCTCCTTGGGTTTCCCAGGTGATATCACTACAGAAGTAGATTGCTCAACCTTCCTTTTGAGTAGTGGCTGGTGGGTTTGAACCGCCAGCCTTCTGGCTAGCAGTCAAATGCCTTAGGCACTATGCCACCATGTTTTTAAGTTGAGCAGAAAGATCTAGAAGAGAAAGGAAAGGTGAGCTTGAAGATAGATAGCATTTGATAAATCACGGTTCTACAAGGCAGAACAAATTGGATTCAGAATTTAGGTGTAGGAGGAACTAGAGAGACTTCATCCATAAAGGTGGACGGAAAGGCTGTGCAACAAAGTGGATGCAGAAACTTGAGGTTAAAGGTGTCTCTGCCTCATGGCTTTTATTATTGTAAAATAGGTGAAATTACCTGCTGAGAAGGAAGGGAGAGGCAATTTAGTAGGGGCTTTGAGGCCACTAAACCAAAAAAAAAAAAAAAAATCAAACCTGCTGCCATCAAGTTGATTCCGACTCATAACGACCCCCATTGGGTTGCCGAGACGGTAAATTTTTACAGAAGGAGATTGCCCAGTCTTCCTTCCATGGAGTGGTTGATGGGTTTGAACTGCCACCCTTCTGGTTAGCAGTTCTGAGAAGTGAGGAAGGAGATTATGTGTCTAATTCTAGTTTTGCTGTTTACAAGCTTTGTTTCTGTAAAAGTTATATAATTTCCCTGTGCTTCATTTCCTCATCTTTAAAATAAAGATAAAATAGTGCTTACTTTATAGGGTTATTTTAAGGATTAAAGGGATTAATATGTGAAAAATACTTAGAACTAGAATACCTAGTAAGCATTGAGACATGTTCACTCTTACTATTTTAAAGTTAAATAAGGATTCCTTGACGTTGGTAAAAGGAGCTCTGGTGGCATAGTGCCTAAGGTGCTTGACTGCTGATCAGAAGTTAGCGGTTCAAACCCATCAGCCACTCCATAGAAGGAAGACTGGGCAATCTACTCCATAAAAATTTACTGCCTTGGAAACCCAAAGGGGGTTGCTTTAAGTTGGAATTGACTTGATGGTAGTGAGTTTGGTTTTGGCATTGGTAAAGGTCCAGTTGAGGTTAGAGGCCATGAATTTCTAGAATTCTAAATTCCTTTAGTTATGTTTTCTTAGTTCAGAAGTACTCAGCATTTTGGGAATAGTACTGCAGAATGTAGCTGTAGATTAATTTTGAGTTTAGGTTTGCCAGATGATTGAAATTAAAGATGTTGCAGGTTTATGTTGAGGGTAATGAAAGTGTTGAACACCCAGGGCATAGGGTGAAAAGAAAATTAAGAGTGGAGGGGTTGACAGATAGGAAAAAAAATAATGGGCTTCAAAGTTTTATTGAGATTAGTTCATTTTCAGTTTCACCATATTGCTAACGTAAGTAAAATGATAATTATCCTGGAAAGCATATTATGAAATTTGTGCTTTTGAAACACATGAATTTATTTTATTCTTGTGTCATTATTTTTAAGGAAAACTTAGAAGATGAATATGAACCACGAAGAAGAGATCATATTTCTCACTTTATTTTGCGCCTTGCTTATTGCCAGTCGTGAGTATACATTATGCTCTCACAGTCAAATCTGGTCTCTTGGTCTGTAAATTGGTGCATGGAGAGTTGACATGTGCTGAGTGAATGTTGGAAAGCTCAAAATAACGGACCAGTGGTACATGGGTTAATACTCTTCTACTTTTCTCCAATTATCTTCACCACTTATCCCTCCTTTTTGCCCTCAAGTGCTGGCATTGATGTCTGGAGTTGGTTCCTTTTACATTCTTTTCTCAAGTACCTGTCTGTAAGAGTAGGCAGCTTTGCACAGTAAACTTTTCCCTGTCTATGGATAGAGGAAAAGAAGTCAAGTGTACCATATTTTAAAGGTACCAACTCCTTTTTTGGGAAGATCAATACATACTGATTAAAACTTTAATGAATTGAACATTGTTGCAGTGAATTGTTTGAGACAAAGTTCGCTAAAAATAGAAAAAAATTCCTATTGAAATATTTTTTTTACTTGTTGAAACACTTTTTTAACATTATGGGTGGAGTTCGTTATTTGGGATTTAAAATTGGAAAGGATTTCTTTAGGAAAAGGTAATATTTATAAGAAATAATCAAACACGTACTTGAACCTGCTAGGTTTTTAGTAGTTGAAATGTATAGGTTCGTCATAGTTCTAAGATAGTTTCCTGTAGTAGTTGGTTTTTTGTAAGTCAGTAGTGCCATCCAGAGGGAGAAAGGAGTCAAGTTTTTCTTTTTTTTCCCTTTATATGTTTTTTTCCGTATTAATTTTGGCCAAGTAACATATTTATGATTGTTTTTTTTATTCTCATAGGCTTATTAAGTGAGGATCTTAAGTTGTTTACTATTCCAAGATAATAGTAATTGAAAAATTATTTATCACCTTTGTTCCTAGAGTTTACGTTTTGTGTTTTGTTTAAAAGCATGTGTAGTTTATTTGATTTATGCAGTAAAACTAATTGCTGACAGTCTGTGAAAGTCATCTATGGGAAAAAGTCATATTTTAAATGCAGTCTATAGCTTAAGAATAATGTCTGTTTATATTTTGTAGATTAATGATATTGGCTTTTCTTAAGTTGAGATATATTTGTGTATTAAATGTAGTGAAATTATTGACTTTAAAGTTGTAAACAAACTTTAGTTTGCAAAGTTTATCTGATCATAATCTACTCAGAGATAAAGTTAGTTTTTAAAACACTTTGGTGTTTATTTGGCATTGATGAAACTACTTTAGACTAAAGGAATCTCCCATTTTCTAATATACATGACTATTATTAAATACATTAAGTACTATGAACTATTTTATATTATTTAATAATTAATATTGTAGCTGGGTTCCAAGCATGGTGTATTTACTTGTTTTAATTTTATGCTCATAAGACCTCTACCCCCATATCCAACACATCCTTGGAAAATTGTACTATATGGTAGTCATATTCTCTTTATTATAATAGAAGACTCATATGTTTTCACTTCATCTAGAATCTTGCTCATGTTTGGATATTGCCTTGTAAACATTTCTAGGAATTAAAAATCATTGGATTTTTAATTTATATTTATAATTTCACTATCTCCATTTCAGTGAGGATCTTAGACGCTGGTTCATACAACAGGAAATGGATCTCCTGCGATTTCGATTCAGTATTTTACCTAAGGACAAGATTCAAGATTTCTTGAAGGATAGCCATTTACAGTTTGAGGCTGTGAGTAATTTTTGTATCTCTTCATCCTTCATCTTTCCCTTTTACGTTTTGCTAGTACTAATGTGTGGAGTTGGTTCTCTTTGCATTTTCTTCCCAAGGACCATCCTGAAAGAATAGAGAAGTAGTGATTTTGTACAACAGTGAGCCTTCCTACCTCCCTGACTAGAGAGAGGTTCCTTAGTCTCATATTTAGTGGCTTTATTTATTGAATTTGTGACTTAGTAAAGTATAAAAAACGAGACCTGATGGTGCAGTGTTTAAGCCTTGGGCTGTTAACTGAAAGGTTGGCAGCTTGAACCCATCCAGCTTCTCTGCGAGAGAAAGACCTGGTGATCTACTCAAATAAAGATTACAGCCTAGTAAACTATGGCTGTGGAGAATTCTAGTCTATCACATGTGGTCACTATGAGTCTAAATTGACTTGATACCAAACAGCAACAACAGCGATAAGGTACACAAAGGTTTAGTTTGAAAAAGTTAATTTTTAATTAAAACTTACAGGTCAGAATTTTAAAAGTAATAACGTATTAAAGAAAACATGCAGGTTATGGTTACTTATTTTTTGTAGTGAAGGTAGAAGGAGTAATAACTTCATTTAAAAAATTTGTTGTAACATCTGCCTCTCTGAATAGTTTTGAAAATAGTTTTGCAGACAAATCTGAATGATTTACATATTATAAATCTTGTATAAAATAACATTATAAATTTTGTATAAAATTTTACAAAAGGAAGAAATGTATGGGACATATTTAGCAGGGGCAGGTTTTATGAATGGATATAGAATTTATGTCTTTTAAGTACATTTATGCTTCAGAAGATAGGTAGGAAATTCCATTTTGGGAGATGTAAAACAATCTGATGGTCATAAGACTGGTGCAGCTATATTTTGGTGTTGGAATGAGTGGGTTGAGACCAATAAAATACAGTAGAAATTGGGGTAGGTGAAGAATATTGTCCTTTCTGACAAGTGGAACATTTACCCACTTTAGCAAAGAGACTATATGAAGGGAAAGGCTCAACTTTTAGTGTGACATTCTAGGAAGGCACTGTCACAGTTTCTCTCATTTACTTCTTTATTTTGTTTGTTTCTTTTGAAGTTTTAATTTTTATTGTGATTTGGGTGAAAGTTTACACAGGAAATTTACTTTCCGCACAGCAGCTCACATACACTTTGTCTCATGACATTGACTGCAGTTTCCCACAATGCAACAGCTCCCTTTCCACTTCTTCCCCATGGTTACCTCTTCCCTGTGTCCTTCCCTCCCATGCATTCCTGCCCACCCTCCAGCTGTCTCCCTCAGCATATACATCGCTTCCATTCTCCCATGATTGATCTCTCCAAGGAGTGTATCTACCTAATGTAAATGTTTAGCTCATACACCTATCTTTTATTTGGCTGGAAGCCACAAGGGTGGGTTCAATTCCAGACCTGAATGGCAGCTAGGAGCCATAGTCTCAATGGTCCCTTGAATGATTTTGAGTTTTGTTACACATTGTTTTCCCACTCTATCCAGGATCTCCTACACAGATCCTCTTCTGAGTGGTTGACAGTGGTAGCCAGGCACCATCTAGTTCTTCTGGTCTCATAGTCATATAGGCTGAGGATCACGTGGTATACCAGTCGCTTGGACCATTTGTTTCCGTGCGTCTTTGTTTTTCTTCATTCTTCTTTCTCATTTACTTCTAAAAGCCCCATGAGGTTCAGAAAGTTTCTAAGTAATGTTTACTTGGGAAATAGTAGAGACAAGTGTCAAACACAGGATCTTCTGATGCCAAAGCCCAGGAATCGTCTACTTTGCTTTTAACTTTGATTCTTAGTGATGTCTATTATTGCTAATATCAATTTAGTTGATTTAACTTTTCATTTTAACAATTCTTTGTTGAAATTGTTGATTTTATTCGTTCAAATAGAAAAGTGTCCTTGAGGAGGTCTGTTCTTTATTCAAGAGTGTCTCAACATGTGAAGTGTAACTTTTTTATAATAGCTTTATTGAGATGGAATTTACGTGGCACGGAATTCACCCTTTTAAAGTGTACAATTCAGTGCTTTTTAATATCATCAGATTTGTGCAACCATCATCTCTATTAATTTTAGAACATTTTCATTACCTTAAAAAAGAAACCTCATATCCTTTAGCAGTCACTCTCCATGTTCCCCTTCCTCAGCCCTTGTCAACTCATATCTGCTTTTTTGTCTCTAAGAATTTCTTTATTCTGGACATTTTATGTGCATGAAAGGCACACTTCTGTTCTTTTTTTTCTTTTTTTTTATTAGAATTTGGGTGAAGATTTACAGAGTAAATTCACTTTTCATACAGCAGTTCACATATACTTTGTCTCATGTCATTGACCAAAATGTACAATGC